GGAACTGTAATTTCTTCCTCGTCGGGGGTAAAAATCAGTTTTGCACTTCCAAACTTTGTTATAATTTGGGAAAACATCAGCACCATGAGTTTTCAAAGCTGGCCTTAAAAATAAGTAGCTGGCCTTTGTCTACTTGCAAATTTGGATTATTGCGGCCATTTCTTCAGCAGTGAAAGGGGTGAACGTGCAAGCAGACGCAGACGTGGACGTAGACGTGGACGGGGAGTGAGAGGGGGAAGGGTTTGCACCTGATTCCTGCCTTCGCTTAGGGGTTGCAGCAAACTCGAGTTCGTCTGCAGGGTGGTCAGAACGTCCTTTTTTTTTTTTTTTTTTTTGCAGAACGGGTCAAGCTACCAAATGGTTTGAGATGACGTCCTGTCTTTACTAAGTTCTCCTTATCTACGCGGAAAAGGCAAAGTGAACTGCCAGTAACGAAGAAAGTACAAAATAAAATAATGAAAATACCTGATAAAATTAATGGGGTTATTTACACTGGCTCATCTAACTCGGAATCTTTCAAAAACCGATGTAAATAGCGATTACATTTTGCCAATTTCGATTTAACAGTTCTCAAACAATTTCGAATATCCTGCTGTAGTGCGTCTTATAAATTGTCAGGGATATTTTCACTTGCAAAGTATGTGTTAAAAAGAAACAATTTGAAATGAAAGATAGAATTCCATTTGAACCATCCGTGGGGAAATGCAAAGCCACGACTTCAGAGAGCATTTTTTAGCCCGCCCTTCTGCTTTGAAAAAGCTATCCAGCGGGCTTATGCAAACGACCTCGTGTCTGTCTGTCTGTCTGTTCCACAAGAAGGAGATGCGCTGGAGACTTCAAATTTTCAGGGGATCTCAAGGCTCACCACCACAAAACAAAACGCCTATGGCAAATCCTGCCAGCCACCCCTAAGGGGCTGAGAGGGGGTATCGAAGAAAACAGAAAAGGCCAAAAAAGTTGGATTTTTTTGTTTGGTGATCTCCGAAGGGGTAACTTGTGAAAATAGAGCCCTTTGGGCGAAAATTTCGTCCGTTTTGCTCTATCTCTAACCGTTTATGCGCTAGAGAGTCTTTTTAGACAAAATAAGCTAAAAATTGCCATAGTGAACAAAAAGATGTAGAAAAGGGCCTAAAAACCGCAAAAGGAAACTCTCCCCCCACCCCCAAAAAACGTTTTCTAAGCAGAAGGGTGGGTTGTAGCCTGCTTGTTACCTGTGTACAGGGCTTTGCAACACGAGGGGTCGTTTACTTTGCGTCGATTACTCTGATTTCCCCCTGATTTTTCCTGATTTTTCCTCGTTTTCCCCTCTTTTCCCTCCTCTTTTTTCCATATTCTCCCCTACACGTGCAAAATACAGCTCCATGCCTCGATCTAGACTCTTCTGATATCATTCTATACACCGCTTTACAAGCAGCGCTGCACTGGATCTTGGAAAACTGGTCCGTAGCCAATGTCCAGTTAGCAATCCATGAGGGTGTTTTATGTGTCGTCTATGTGTCGGGCATTCGGCCCGCTCTACCACAGGCAGTACCACGACTCAACACTGTAAATTGCTTACGAACAATAGATTCGTAATGCAAACCAAAACGTTCGTAGCTTACGAAGGATTTTGAAGCGTTGTATTACGAACTCATTGTTCGTAAGCTTACGAACAAATGGTTCGTAATGCAAACCGATTGTTCGTAAGACCAGTCTAGCCCTACAAACAATCGCTTTGCAATACGAACAATTTCTTTGCAATACAAAGAACGAAAGTTGTTCGTAACGTTGCAAAGTATTTATTTTGTAAGCTTTTTACAGTGCACGACCTAACTAAAGTGACCAACGGCCGAGACGCAAATGGAATAATTACAGATAGTTGTAAATAATGGCATCGGAGTTTAGTTCTAAAGAAAGCCTAAAACGGCCCTCCTACCCGAACAGACTTAATACGACTGTATCCGACGTTAATAGTACTCTAATAGTACTAGGTAGATGTACGCCAGACCACGTCTCGCGTAACAGGCTTCGCGATATCTCACGAAACACTGTTACGCTGCGACGCGCCTGGCATACATCTATC